TGCCATCACACACACCATCTCCAAGACGGGCAGTGACAGGTCAGTGGTATCAGCCCCTAAAGGAGGACGTCGGGAGGAAGATAGCCCAGGTGTGCACTTTGGCTCTGCTACCTGCTCATGGAGTCCAGCTAATAATTCATCATCCCAGATGCCTTTTCAGTTAAGGGATCCAATTCTGACTGAAGGGCTTCTGGAAAAATTGGGCTTGTATGCCATTTTGGCATTTAGTTCCTTCCTGAATGAAGAAGCCATACCTAGAGGTGCCTTGAGTAGAAGCCCTGTGATGAGGATGACAGAACCAGAGGACATGCTTGGCTGCCATTCCAGCCCTGGACTGGCCTCCCCAGCTTAACTTGTATGAGACGATTAAATCCCTTGTTTACTGAAGTCCAATGTGTAAGATTTGTTTCTTGCAGAGTGTATTCTGATATACCACCACAGTACCACTTACGTAGACCAAATGAGAACTTCAAGAGTGTGCAAAGCAATCAAGAGTAAACATCACCTGTCATCTCTTGAGCATCTCCATCTCCATAACAACCACCTAGCGTATTGTCCCTATTTATGCTTCTGCCTTTCTCTTCCCCCAAGACAGTTCCACAAAGGCAGAGCCTGTGTCTTGTCTCTCCCTAGTGCCCGCTCAGGCCCGGTCTCGATGAGTGTGTGGAAATGGAAGTGTGGACATGACTTGTGTTGCTGGCGCCTAAAGATAAATTTGACTTGTCACAGATGGAAGTGTTGACCTCTTGGGAATTTTTACTCAAGGTGCAGTGAGCCTTCTGACTCAGGCTACCTTTGGATAGAACTAAAGGTCTTGGAGTCTCACAGCAGTATGACCCCTGGCTGGGACACATTGTCCTAAACCCCTCTTCACTCCCTGTGTCCCCTGCCTGAGGACCTACAGGGGATCCTGGTGCAACTGAGACCAAATCCAAACACAAGATTACCCAGTCTACAACCTCTGTCTGAGGGAAAGCAGAGGCAAGGGAACTACCATTTATAACAAGAGCCTCATACACCAAGCACTAGATTAGATATGCATTTAAATAGCTTACTTTATCTTCACAATAATTCTATGAGAAAAAGGAAGGCTCAAGAAAGTTTAGTAACTTGGCTGCTTAAATTTACAACTGTTGAATGACAACAGTGGGATTCAACCTAGGTTGGTTGGCCAGTACTTGGTCATTCATTTCACTCAACATTATTAAGCATCTCCCATGTGCCAGACACCAAGCTAGATGTTGGGGCCTCGAGGGAAAGTGAGCCAGATGTGGTCCAGCCTTGTGCCTTCAGCAGGGGGCGCACCCCCAGCCAGGAACACTCTGCCAGGGCTCAGAGTCCTGAATGGTCACCAAGATAAGGGCCCTTAGCCTCCAATTCTTTTGTATTCTTGGGAGGAAACCACCACTGTAACCCAGAATTCCAGGCTGGCACTGGGTGGAATATCTCCATATCAGAAAGGGTGGCTGGATCAAATGGTCTGAGAGGTCCTGATTCCTGCCACAGCCACCATACTGTACAGGGTGGGAGTAGGCAGGGGTGTCTTCCCGTTCTAACTAAAGCCCTGACTTGGAGGTGGGCTCATCAAAACTTCCACTCCTGAGCCAAGTTCAGTGTCAATGCCAGCCTCCCCGGGGAGGGAGAGGCAGGGAGAAGGCACACTGACGCTGCTCAAAGTCAGTGCCACGTGAGTGTTAGCTGAGGTTAATACCGTTATCATTAATGGTAGTTTCCAGGTCTGGCTTCTAAGGCGGAACTTGCTCACCTTTGTTATTATTATTATTTTTTTTAAAGATGACTGGTAAGGGGATCTTAACCCTTGACTTGGTGTTGTCAGCACCACACTCTCCCAAGTGAGCTAACCGGCCATCCCTATACAGGATCCGAACCTGTGGCCTTGGCGTTATCAGCACCGCACTCTCCCAAGTGAGCCACGGGCAGGCCCTTAGCTTCGGGTCTTTTAGGGGTTCCTTCCTCACTTCCAGCCTATCTCCACAAGAAACACTGTTATGGGTTGAATTGTTTTCCCCAAAAAAAGACTGGAGTCCTATTCCCCCAGTACCTCAAAGTATGATCTTATTTAGAGACGGGGTCTTAGGGCTGGCCCGTGGCTCACTCAGGAGAGGGCGGTGCTGATAACACCAAGGCCACGGGTTCAGATCCCACATAGGGATGGCCGGTTCGCTCACTGGCTGAGCGTGGTGCTGACAACACCAAGCCAAGGTTGAGATCCCTTTACCGGTCATCTTTATAAAATAAAAAATAAAAATAAAAAATAAAAAAGATCTCCTTACCAGTCATCTTTTTAAAAAAAAAAAAAGAAAAGGAAATTTGTGCACAGATTATAGAGGGAAGATGATGTGCAGAAACACAGACACCATGTGAAGATGGAGGCAGAGACTGGGATTATGCTGCCACAAGCCAAGGAATGTCAGGGGCTACCAGAAGCTGGAAGAGGCAGTGTTTCCAAGGGAGCATGGCACTGCTGACACCTGTCTTCCAACTTCTGGACTACAGATTGTCAGTGATAACTTTCTGTTGTTCTAAGCCACCCAGTGTGTGGCACTTTGTTGTGGCAGCCCTTGGGAACTAAAACAAACACCATCTAATGGGCCCCCCCAGGCACCTGAAATCTTCAAACTATAGGTCCAGAGGGAGGCAGAGCCCTCCCCACACCTTCCAAGCACCCACTTTCTCTATTCTCATTTTCCCTCTAAGGACCAGCTTCTCCCCTTCAGACCACCCCCATGGCTTTCGGAACCCCCCACCGCGGCAGTTCCCACATGGAGGGCACCCATTTCCAGCTCACCCTTCTCTGATGTGCTGCGAGATTATGCTATAACTGAGGGTTCAAGCTGGGGCTGGATATGTCAGGATAGTGAATGTAATGTCAAATGGCGTCCAACCCGTGGCTGACAGGTGGTGGGAGGCGGAGCCAACAACACACCCGCTCCTCCATTCTGCCATCCCTGGGATGAACGAGGCCCTGGAGGGTGAGGTGGGAAGTGGTTGAATCAACCATGATCCAGCAAATGCAGTAATGGCAGGTTGATTTTATGGACACATCAGAACAGGTGTGCTGTGGCTTACAGGAAAGGCCACTGTCCCACAGGATGAAATAGCCCATAGTCCTTTCCTTACAACCCTACCCACCCCCAGGCCCAGCCCAGAGGTGGAGGTGAAGGGGGCAATGGACATTGTTGAACAGATGCAACAAGGTCATTGCCAGCTCTGGAACCACATGAATCAGGACCAAGAGAAGTCGGGCCCCTGCTACACTGGGGGCTTCAGAACTTGACCCACCCACCAAGGCCTGGGCCCACCCACCCCACAGCCAACCTGGTCTGCTCCCTGCTGTCTTCCCTTGATGGGCGTTCTTCTAGCTCCGGGCCTGGAGGCTGGTGTCCGCTTGGCCTTCCTGGCAGCCCAGCCTGGGCAGGCTTCAAAGACAGCAACCGCGGCCTTCACCCTCTGGCCACGGGCACTGGGAGGGGCAGCGCAGGTGGCCCCCACCCGCAAGTTCAGCCCAGTGAGCCACCTGAGAAGAAAAGAGAGCTTGGGGAGCCCACTGTGCTGGGTCTTGGCTGAGAGCTTTCCTGAGGAGATGGAAGAGGGTGTCAGGAACTCGGGGGCAGTGGAGCCCAGTGGGTGAGAGCAGGCTCTGCTGAGAATCCTGGCTCAGCATTCACCAGTTATGTGGCCTCAGACCCATTCTCTGTGAAAAGGGACAGTAAGAGCAATAGTAACAGTTTTAGACACTGTTCAAATCAATTTAATTGTTACAATAACATGCTGAGGTAGATACTATTACTATCATCCCCCTTTTACAGATGGGCACAGAGAGGCTATGTGGCTTGCCCAAAGTTAGTTGGTAAAATCACAGAGCCAGGATTGCAGCCTAGGTCTGACTCCAGGCTTCTCGTAGCTATCTTACATAATTATGTAACATGCCCACACACATTTACTAAGTCCCAGCCCACCGGGTGGGACGGATATAGTTCCTACTTTAAGGATAAGGGAATCAAGGCTCAGAGAGAAGTCCACCCCAAACCCCCAGGAAGTGTAGCTGACCCTGGAAGGGGCTCATTCATGCCTGGCTCTGGTAGGACCCCTGCACTCACCCACCCCAGTCTGCTTGGCCAGGCACAGACATGGTTCCCCTGGGGAGATGGCAAGGCTTGACTGGCAGCAGCTGGTCTCTGGCTGGGGGTCCCAGTGGGGGGTGTCTACCTGTGCAGTGGTAGCAACTGGCAGTCACAGTGAAAGGGATTGCCACTGAGGTCGATGAGCTCGAGCCGGCTGAGATCAGACAGGGCAGGCAGGACCCGCAGATGGTTCTTTTGCAGGTACAGGCTCTGGAGCTCGGGCCCCAGGCCTGAGAAGGCCCCAGGAGAAATCTGCAAGGGGGTGACAAGTCCTGGTATGAGGAGGTCTGGGAGAGTCCCATCCTCCCCCAGCAGAGGGGAAGTTGGAGAGCCCAAATTGGCCCAGGTAGGAGAGCAGTGCTGGGGCAGAAACCCAAGTTGGTCTGATATCAAAGCAGTTGTTCTGTCCAAGTCACCCAGATGCCCAGTTCATGGCTCTTTCTGCTATGTCCAAACTCCACGCCCCATAATGGCAAAGCCTCTTGGGGGCTCTCAACGTGTACAAACATTGGGTAACCCACGGTCCCAAATTCCTCCCTCCTCCATGCCCCAACAGAGCCTGGCCTGGATCCTGTCTGGCCTGTCATCCACACTTGAGCTCCCTAGGGCAGGGGGCAGGCTGTGTGTCTGGTTTATCTCAGGGTCCCCATGCTTAGCCTAGAACCTGGCACGGAGGGGGGTGGCAAATGTTTGTTGAGTGAATGCACGTTGTGTGTGCCTTGTACCCACCACTACACATCCCATGCCCACCTGCTCCAGACCACTGCTGTTCAGGAAGAGGTGCTGCAGCGACCCGCCCATAGGCCGGAAGGCCCCATCTCGCAGGGTCCTGAGTGGGTTTCCGGAGAGCTGCAGCTCCAGGAGGGCAGGCAGTCCCTCCAAGGCCCAAGTGGGCACGTCTTGCAGCTGGTTCCTGTCAAGGTGCAGCTTCTCCAGCTCTTGAGCTGGGCCCAGCGCCCCGGGGGACATTTGGGTGATGCGGTTTCCACTCAGGTAGAGCCAGCGCAAGGTCGGCACCCCCGCCAGGTCCCCAGCTGCCAGGCGGTCCACAGCATTGTCCTGCAGGTGCAGGGAGAAGAGGCTGGGCAGGGCGCGCAGGGCGGCCCCTGGCACGTGCAGGAAGCGGTTGCGCTCCAGGTACAGGTAGCCCAGGCGGGGGGCCCCTTCGAGGGCAGCAGCGCTGAGGCCCGAGAGCTGGTTGTCAGAGAGGTAGAGGTAGACGAGGTGGCCCAGCCCCGCCAAGGCGCCCGCCTTCAGCTCGGCGATGCCGCAGTGCTGCAGGTGCAGCGACACCACGCGGCCCAGGCCGGGGAAGGCGGCTCGGGGCACCGAGGGGAAGTGGTTCCGCCTCAGGTCCA